AGTTATATGCAGATATATATGAAAAATCACACAAGAATATAAATTATACTAGTGTCGTTTTCACGATGTTCTATTACTGACAAGAAAACGTACATTAAAACATAAACCTGGCATTGCAAAGTCATATTTTGTTTGTGATTGGTATATAAGTTTTGTTGAAAACCTCCTGTTTGTAAGTTTATTGTTTTTCTGTTTTTTAATATTGATCATTTCTGAGATTAATCGTTTTTTGTAAGAAGGTTCTTCATCTAAAATTTTAATATTCTCCCAATCGAATTTGTGTCCTAAATGCAATCTATAGTCTGTTATCACAGAATAGACGTGTTCCATTAAATGTGATTAAAATGTTCTGTAATTTTAATTTTTAATTGTCTATTTGTCTATTTGACGTATGATGCATCGCAGTCTTTACATGTAATTTTATAGACTATATTTCTCTTAAATATGTAGGGAAGAGTATCTCTTTAGACTTTTATGAATTTTTTTCTATAATTTGTTGGAATTGTAAAAAGAAACTTTGGTGTCAGTGCTATTAAATATTATATGAATTTTTCTGTAATTAAAAGAATGAATGAAACTGTAAACATAAAGTACGGTTATTAGAATTGTCAATGTTAGACAAAGTCTTTGTGCTGCTGTTTCTCGTTGCACAAGACTTCGAATTCTTTTGTTAATGGTGTCAAATATAAATTTTAGTAGGTCGTTTTCAAGTAAAATGTTGGTAATGAATTCTAAATTTTTTGTGTGATATTTGTCATCGACAATAATATTGCTTTGTCTACTAAATTTATAATTGCCTCTTTTTTAAGAGATCAGATGATTAGAATAATAATTTAAGTATCTGCCTGAAAATTTTTTTACTATATTTAAGCAATTCTACCAATTCCATCATTTTTCGGACAAATGGTTGTTTTCAAACGATAAAGCCAAACAATGATTTTTCAAGTCAGATCTTGGGAGCGTAAATAGACATTTTTTAATCGTTCTTAATAAAGTACTTAGTTAAGTACATTAAACTAAAGAGATATGCGAATCTTTTGTTAGGACAAATCGAATCAAATCTAATTTTTGGATAAGATATATTTAAAAACGAATCGAATTGAATTTGAAATTTTTGCGTCAAATCAAATCTTTTTGATTAAAAAACAAATCGAATTTGAATCAAAATTTTCTCAATTGACATTAAAATAAAACAAATAAAATAGGCGAATTTGAACCGATGATTTAAAATTTCGAATTCATTTGATTTCGAATCTCTCAGATTCAAAAACGGATTGAATCAAATCCTATTCAATTCTCAATTCGAATGATTAAAAAACAATTCGAATTTGAATTATTCGCATACATCTCAATTAAATTTATTTTATCTGAGATAATTTAATTTAAAATTCTAAATTAAAACAAATAATTTTACAGTGCCCTACATTCATGTGTGTGATCGCAACAATCC